TATATAGATTCCCAATTTAATTTAGTTGTAAATATCAACCTGCCTCTCATTAACTTAATATTATTGTCACGCGGTACAGAATAAAATGTACATAATTCAGCTTCGACAAACTGTACTGTGATTCGAATTTCAAAACATATGCTAATATCATTATAGGCATCTGTTTTTTGGGCTACATTTTAACACCACCAACTATGTCCTCTGCAACAATTGCATTAACTGATATATCTGCAACTTCTTGCAATTTCCATTCACTCCTTTTCTTTTTAATTTCCCGAGCCAAAGAAAGGTATTGTAGCATTGATAACCAAATGCAATTTTCATAGAGTGTGCAGAGAGATATTGTGACATTTGATTAGTTTAAACATCTGAATATTGTAACAATCGTATTGGGTTTCCACATTTTTTTTCTGTGGGTGCGATGGGGGTGAAATGATGAGAGAAAATGCACTTGATGATTTAGAGGGGTGGGGGGATGGCTGGTTGGAAGGGGGGGCTAAGCCTTGTTCTGGCTTGCAGTACTGACCGGTTAGTGCCTAGTCGTCAATCTGTTTTATCTTTCTTTCCATCGTTTCTTTTTGTTTGTTATGCTAATTTTTACTTTTGGGTGCTTAAACCAGTAATTGTCGGCTTATGTCGTTTCTGTTGGAATACTCTTTCTAGGCCTGCAATGCAGCGCTGTCCTACTTTCCTACAAGGCTGCAGCTTCACCACAGCAGCCAGCTTTCTCTCTAATTGCCAAAGTGAAAACCAGAGTAACAAACATTCTCCTAAAGTCAGATAAATGGAAAAATTTAAAACTCATTTCTTCGATCCATGTCATTTTCTTGTTTTCTTTGAACTGTGCCCTCTTGTCACCTCAAAAAAACCTTGCTTACATGATCAGAGAGGGGAGAGCTCCTTACAGAAACTTTAAAAACTCAAACTATCCTTTGCATGTGTATTCCCTGTCGAGCTGTACTGTTCTAAGTAAATGATCACGCATTTTTAACCATCTAAACGGGGAGTAATTAATTCTTATATCTGTGGTCCACTCCATCCGAGAGAGGTGAATGAACAGTGACCCACAAAAACCCATGGCCTGAAATTGAATTTGGCTAAGCTAGCCATGTGAAGGCTTCATGACTTCATGTGTATCATGTGCTACTGTTAAAGAAAAGCACACACCATTCTCTTTGTTTTCCCTAGCAGATCCAGGCGATTTTACTGTTAGTTTTGCTATCTTGAAACTTAAAGATAAAGCAGACGGAGAGGAGTTAGCCCCCAGATGCTATATATTACTTTGCTCGTGAACATGATATATCACGGCGCCCAACATGGAATATTCCTCTCTGGATTATCTGATAATTAGGATGAATTAACCTGCAAAAAAACACAAGGAAAGCACACAATTACACATCTCTGCTAGCTTAAAAGGTAGATAAAGAACATATATATGCTTATTGGTTCTGAATATAAAATGTTTTTGCATGAAAGAGTAACATGTTTCCAAAGTTATCTTCGACGAAAAGAGATTATTTATTACATCTAATAAAAGAATCCTTTTTTCTGCTTGTTTTTCAACAAAGTATATCGAACCAATCACCAAGAAAACCCTATAACCACGTAATTTGTAAAGTCAAGAAATAATTTTTCTAGTAAAATGAAAACCGGTATACTTTCCCAGACATAATAAATGTAGTATGTATGTACGATGCTGAAATATATTTGCAGAGTCAGTAGCTGGTGGTATTGGACCACTTCACTGGCTGCATCGATGTTCGAGGAGTACTTTGATACAATTACAAGATCCCATGGTTATCTCCTTATTTTGAGTTAAAAATGTTTGCTCCCCTCACCCTTTCCAACTTGATTTTTTGTCCCTCCTTGTTTGTTTCCCACCGCAACGTACAAATTTGTAAAAGTACATTTCCATACATCTTTAATTACCCACTTTTCCTTTTGCTTTCTCTTTTAACCTTTTTACCCTAACCACCACTTTTGTTTTCTTATTTTTCTTATTCCATTTCTTTAGCACTTTTGAGTACTAAAGCCATAGAAGAGCTTTATATTGTTGCAGGTGCATATGGGCATTAATTAGAAATCTCAAGTAATTTATTGCCTTTGCCCCTAACCCTCAAATGTTCTCAATGGTCGCATCAGAAGATTTCTAATTACTCTCTTCGTATATATGGTGAATTACAATTCTATCTCAAAGTGATAAATCCTACTAAGACTCCTACTTATTTATTCGGAAGCTATTTAGTTTTTCCAAGAAATACTCAGCCACAGTGGGGTGGGACACGCATCACTGACGAGAAAGAGTACCTTCAGTGAAGACACTGAATCTATGTTTGCGAGACCTTTGTTTCTTCAACTTCTTACTGCTCGTACATTATCCTTTCAGCCTTTTGCCCCTGACTTCGACCCCACTCAAATCCGTAGCCAGCTAAGACACCACATTTATAGGCCTGAGATTATTTTAACTACTTGCTTGGTCCCCTCACCCTCCCCAGTCCCCCTTTCCCTTTGGATTTCTTGATAAATATTGATCATCGTCATCAATTCATCACACACAAACACAACCAACAAACATGAACCACCGAAGAGAAATCCATCAACCAATCAGCCATGAATACTGCGTCCCCCTTAATTCATTTATAGGCCCTCTGCGACAGGGTTTTCTTTCATTTCTTTCTGAAAAGAAAACCCCATTTGACTAAAGCCCATTTAAATGCAAGAAATGAACACTGATGCTTAGACTTGCAAACAAGTACTTTACACTTTTTATTTTCTTTCATTTTCTCTTCTACTTTTTCAACACCTGAGAGAAACTCAGCAGGAAAGGCTGAAGAGGAGTAATATCGACCAAGATTCTGATAGTTAAAAAGTTAAAGAGATATACATGAGTGGTGGGGTCGTTTAGTTGAGAGTGAAAAAATGCAGTAATGAAGATGCAGTGACTGAGAAAACAAATGCGTGCGTGGGAAGGTGGGTTTTGAGGAATAGTCATGGTCAGTGCATGGGGCTCGGATTCCCAGGTCACCCCTCCAACAAAGTCAGTAATCATTGCCTTTCCCTTATCTTCATCTGCATGGGAAGCCCCTGCCTGTAGCCCTCTCTCCTCTCTTAAACAATCACTGTTACTACAGTGACACTTCTTCTATAAACACTGCAAGCACAACGAAACTTGTGTCGAGCTTGCTAGAGGTCGTGTTTTAGCAACAAAATCCAGGCGCAGATCCGCAGATGTTCGCTTCTTTTCTCAACTTGTTTTGCTGCCATCAATAATTAAATGTTGTAGTGAACTTACTATAAGTAGTTAATGTGGTATTTGCCTAATACTACTCATATACGGTACTATGGTTTCAGGTCATATATTGATAGAATATAGTCTTTTTAAGGCAGAAGGTAGAGCAATCCACAATTCGTTTTTATTAAAAAAAAAAACTAAAACATGCCAATCAACCGTAGTTTAATAGCATAAGTATCATGGCAAATAAAAGGAGATCATTACAAAAAAACATTAAAGGTTTTTACTTTTATCAACCCATTTGCTTAAGCCTTCACTTATATGCAAATATAATTGAAAAGAAATTTTAAATTTGATACTTCAATATAATTGAAAATAAAATAATATATTGTATCCATATTTAACAGTGAAACATGTTCAAAACCACATACACACTGACACATAAATATATATATATATTTCAAGATTTAGTTTTTCTTTGGATTTTTTCCTAAATTAAAGAGAAGTCATTATTAAACAAATGCATATTAGTAGTGGTAACAACAACATGTGAAATAACAAACATTGTGCTTTAGGTACTAAGGCTCATATGTCAATGCAATGTGTTATTTATATGAATATTTCTTTATTTTTCCAACAATAACTTCCAAGCTTCTTTAGGGTCCCTAACTCATCCAATCCAACTAATTACTTTATCACTGCTCTTAGTCTTATCTAAACCTCCCGAATAATCTCAGTTTTTATTTTCAGATTTCCTCATTTAAAAATGCACTCTAACTTCTATATAACTTCTTCTTTACCCCTAAATGAAGTATGCGAACAAATATATGATCAACTTCTTTAGAACTAGTTCATGGTATAACAAAAGTAGACACAAATTAGTCAGGACCTCGAATAGCTCCAAACAGAACCCGACCACATCCGACAAAAGGATTCTTTACATTGAATGAAAGCTGATGCTGCTGCCATGTCTTTAAGCTTTTTGTATTTGCCAGGGAAACAATTATGGCGTTGTGTGTCATGACCGTGAGGCTCTTTTGTAAAGACATATAAGGGACTGGAAATGGCAATCACAGCACAGACTAAAAAGGTTACCATTGCCACAGATTCAAAAATGTGCAGTACCTTCCATCAAAATTGGTACCCAAAAAGCTGTCATCAGAATGCACACAGATGATGCTTCTTGGAAACTCCAGCAAGTTAAATTATGAAAGTAGCATGTTTCTAAAGAGACGAAGTAATCCTGATAGTATCTCGTGGTGTTTAATTAGACATAAATAGTTAGGATGAAGAGGAAATTGTACGCAATGAAGAGGTATAATGCACTTCCAAACTTTTTTGGTAATAAAATTTCTTCATTTAAAACTTAGGAAACAAAATTAAAAAACAAACGGGGAATTTTGAGTAGCCATGAACAGCCAAGTTGCCAACATCATTGTAAAGCAAAATTTTCCATGACTAAACTTTCCCATGTCCTTTCCTTCTTAACCTCCCTCAACCTTGAGGCTTTTTCTGTCGCTGGTATTTGGACTATGATGATCAGTGAATTTGTTTGACATTGTGTGGATCAAAAACAAATGGTAGTATCCTTTCCATCCCTTTACTGTTAGTTGGGCAAAGCATCATGTTGGCCCAATAAGTTTCAATCTTTAGGTTCTAATTTTTGAATTGGACCAAATCCTAGCCCATGGAATACTTAATCCTATGTCGGCCTGCTTTACATGCACCCTTTTTTCGAATGCAAAATATAAATCATAGGCTGTCCCCGGGATGCAGAATCAGCTTCCGAAACGCAAACTCTCCACTTTCATCCGAGTCTACAGCCAAATGGCAACTTCGAACGTGAAACAAACACTGGGCAATCTGAACAAGGACTCGTTTGTGTCACTTCTAAAGAAGGTCATAGGAGAATCCAAGTTTCTTCAAAACAACCCGCCGGAACTGATCCCAGAAGAAGACAGGGTGGTGAAGCATGTACTAGATTGTCTCCTCCCTTACAGTACGACAACTGGTGGAGGACCTTTGGTTGTTAACCATGTTACTTATTTCCCCGGAAGGGGCAATCTCATTGTGGAGTATCCTGGGACTGAGCCTGGCAAGATCTTATCTTTTGTTGGGATGCATATGGATGTTGTTACCGCTAATCCTAATGATTGGGTAATAACTCTCTTTTGATTTTTGCTTTTTTCCCTTTTATTTGGTTTCGGGTTGCTGCTTTTTTATTTTTGTATAAAGTTTGAAATTTTTTTGGCTGCTGGAAGGGATGGTTGTTATGGCTTTTGGGATGATATTTCTTAATACCTGGGTTTGTTTTGCATTCGATATAGGATAGAGGTGGTAAAGGTAACAATTTTCCTTTTTCTGGGGCGGGGTTTGGATTTTGTTTAATATTATAGATTTTGGCAGTGTAAATTTGGTTAATTTTAAGTTTTCCATTGGTTAGAATTTGGTTTTTGAGACATCATAATTGACTGTTTGGAATTAGCTTTTGCTACACTTTTTTTTTTCTTGGGATGAATTTAATCTGGTTTGCTTTTTTCTTCGCTGTTTATGGGATTGATTTGAATTGGCTTCCATGCTTGAATTGATAAGTTACACTTCCAGTTTTGTGTTCACGGAGAAAAGAATAAGTTTTTGCCGTATAATCACTGTATTTGCATCGCTTTCTACAAATTTGTTTTGCATCTCTCTTCTTATTAGCAGGATTGATGAATCAATCAAGACTTTGGTATGTTGACTTCTGTAGGTATACTCAGCTTCCAGAAATGGCATTCACTTATCTTGAAGATTTATTTTTAATTGATGAACTTACGTTGGTTTTCCACTTAGGACTAATGGTTTTAGGTTCTTTTAATATTTGTTATGGTTTCCTCAGATTTTCCCCCTCTCATTATGTCAACATTAATACTTCTGCATGTGCTCTTAAATAGTAGCAATTCTCGATGCTCTGTCAATTGAGATTAGCCATTTCAAGTTACTGTTTGATATTAGGATTATAGGTACTTTGATATTAGAATTTGATATATGTTGAATTTTGGCAGGATTTTGATCCTTTCTCATTGAGCATTGATGGTGATAAACTTCGTGGCCGTGGAACTACTGACTGTTTGGGACATGTTGCCCTTGTAACTGAACTCATGAGGAAACTTGGGGAGACAAAACCGAAACTAAAATCAACCGTTGTTGCAGTTTTTATAGCCAATGAAGAGAACTCAGCAATAACTGGAGTTGGTGTTGATGCACTAGTGAAAGATGGTCTGCTTGAGAAGCTGAAGGGAGGCCCTCTGTGAGTACTTACATTTTCAAAGAAGAAATACTGAGTATTAATAGTCTGAAACATGTTTCTGGATGCTGGTTATGTCACATTTTATTTTGTAAAAACTTATTTGTCCTCTATCTGGTAAGATGGCAGAAATAATTTAATTCATATGATTTCACAGTTTCTGGATTGATACAGCGGATAAACAACCTTGCATTGGTACTGGTGGTATGATACCCTGGAAACTTCATGTAACAGGGAAGCTTTTTCACAGTGGTTTAGCACACAAGGTAGACCATATTACCGCATTTGTTATGTAGCCTATGTAAGTAATCATTTAGCACAAAACCATAAGCTATGGTATTTAAACCTAAATCCTAGGTAGAAGGAAAGATAAGGAACACTCTGAATGTTAAATCTGAAAATTTTATTTCACCACAAAATCTTTAGTCTTGATTACAATCTATTAAACACCATAAGCTATGGTGTTTAAACCTAAATCCTAGGTAGAAGGAAGATAAGGAACACTCTGAATGTTAAATCTGAAAACTTTATTTCACCACAAAATCTTTAGTCTTGATTGCAATCTATTAAACTTTGTCTCCGAGCAAGCAACTTGTGCCCCAGAATTAATTTACTTCTGGAACCTACAATAATATGACTCATTAACCCATAGGCATATTCATTTTTATACCCAGTAAAGACCCTAAGTATAAAATTGGCTAATTCAAATCAGATCATACCCTATGAAGCAAACAGAATATTCTAATATAATCTATTAAAATGGTTGGTGCTTATCCTTGAGAATCTCTCTATCAAACTTTATTTGCAGTTAGAAGATTTTAGCTGACTGATTGGGTGGTTCTTGATGAAAAAAAGGATAGATATATATGTGTTTTTGTTCTCCATTTGTTTTATTAACTTTGAAGTTTTTGATTATCTGCAGGCTATAAATCCATTGGAGCTGGGCATGGATGCACTTAAAGAAATCCAGCTTCGTTTTTATAAAGACTTTCCACCCCATCCAAATGAGCAATTATATGGATTTGCTACACCATCAACCATGAAACCCACTCAATGGAGTTGTATGTTTTAAGCCTTAGATCAAGTTATTCTTGAAAATAAAGTCAGTTCATTAATGAAATTTTTCTTTGGTGCAGATCCAGGTGGTGGAATCAATCAAATTCCTGGAGAGTGTACACTATCAGGAGATGTCAGGTTTATATTATTGTCAGAGTTTTTAAAGAGCCTGTAGCATAAAATGTTATCTTACTAAGGCCCTTTTTTTGGGTTGCAGGTTAACTCCTTTCTACAAGTAAGTAACCCTCCAATTATCCAAAAGATTGGACCAACCATAGTCTGAGTTTTTTGTTCATTCTTTCAAGTTATTTATTGTTGAATGATTACTGTTTCTTTTCCAAATAAAATTGCTAGTCAATATTTTCTGCTTTGAAATATTATCGTACTGTATTTCAGTGTAAAAGATGTAATGGAGAAGCTGCAAGAATATGTAGATGACATAAATGAGAATATAGACAAGCTGGACACACGGGGTCCAGTTTCAAAATATATCCTCCATGATGAAAACCTTAGAGGAAGGTTTGTCCTTGATCCCCCCTTCTTTATTAAGCAAACTTGCTTAGATGTATGTAGTCAAGCTTTTCATATACTGTATCTGTTCAAGAAGAATCATGTTTTTTTGCCGGCCTTTCTCATCTATGTTTGTATACTACAACTTTTTGAGTTGTTATGTGGTACTTTGTTTGCAGCCTTACATTGACTTTTGATGAGGCAATGTCTGGAGTTGCCTGTGATCTTGATTCCCGTGGCTTTCATGTACTGTGCAAAGCAACTGAAGAGGCAGTTGGTCATGTGAAGCCTTACTCAATTACTGGAAGTTTGCCACTCATTCGGGAGCTGCAAGTGAGATATATATCTTTTAGTAGTTCCTGCTCTTCTGATCTGTTATCGATTTAGCTAATTTTTTTTTCCTCATCTTCTGTCAGGATGAAGGTTTCGATGTTCAAACTGCTGGCTATGGTATGATAAAATTATTGCATTTGAACATTTTGCATTTAAGTCTTTCAAAATCTATTGTAGAAATTGAGCAAGAGCCTTTACAACTGAATGGAATTAGGGCTACGTATATAGAGCATTAGACAATTTTTGGGAAATTATACGGTTTTACTGCTGCTGTTAAAATCCATAATCACATCAATCCCTTTTTTGTTCTTGTCATGTTCTATTTGCTGGATTCAACTGAATGGAATCATTAAAATGTTACTTCATACTTATTTATAGTTTTTTACGGTTAGCGATTGTAAATATCTGACATGCATCTGTTTCGCAAACATGTACGTGCAGGTTTAATGGCCACATACCATGCCAAGAATGAGTACTGCCTTCTTTCTGATATGTGCCAAGGCTACGACGTGTTTACCAGCATCATCTCCCAGTTAGAGAACTAATGCAATAAAGTAGATATGTGTTACTGATCCCAATCGATACGCATCATGATCATTCCCCTATAAATGAGGCAACACAATCATATGATATTCGAGCAGTTTATATGAATATTACGACGGAAGTGCCCACTGCACACAGCTTATTTGTCGGCTTGTTTAATGTGGGTCTTACTCATTTGGTATCTAAAAGCATCCATTCTTCCAAACTTTGGATGGGAATTTGGGGTTTTCTCAAGTCAAGCGCTCCATTTTAGCTATGTCTGATGTTCTTGGGTGAAATTTTTATGTCAGAAATTGGCTCAACGCGATGTTGGTAAGCAGTTGGGCAAATAGGGAGGAATCAATATTGAATAGTAGTTGTCAGGATATCCACTCTATGAGTTTGATTGAAAATTTTAAAAATTGAATTAATCAATATTTTATATATAAAAAAAAGGTTTAATCCGTCGATATATATTTTAAATTTTAAAAATTAAAATAATTGAAATAAAAAACTGAATCATCAATTGAATTTTTCTCGATCTAAAGTTTTGTTTGCTAGGAATATGATTGTTGAATATTTAATTATTAAGCAGATAAATTTGCAGGGTTTAATAATAATGCGGAAAAGTGATTATTGTTAAGGATGTGATTGTTGAAAAAATTATACTGTAGTGTTTGATTTAAAAATATTTTACGAAAAATGTAATATAAATTTTTCTTTAAAGGACGTGTTTTGTGGATAGCTGCACAAGTCGCTATCAAAACATTGCTACGATAATAAGTAAAAGCTGCACAATTGCCTTACGCCTTCTTCCAAGGCTGAAACTGCTTCACATGGCCCAAGAGGCCACGACGGATCCAGATTCAAATGAAAGACAAATCATTTCAAAGAATCTGTTCCGCTTACATTATAAAGTTTAGATCAGGCTTAATACGAGAATCGAAGAAAATGAGTAAGCAGTGATTAAATTCAGAAACTCGTAAATTACAATTGAAATCTTCTTTCTATTTGCTTTCGGGCAGATTAGAGGCTGCCTGCCATTCTCGGTAAGAGTAATTGCCCCCTTTTGCAGATTTACCCGCCCAACGTGCACTGGTATCTCATAGAAAGAATGAATTGGAAAACACCATTATTCCATATCACTTCCATGGCTAGCAGACTTGCAATGACGAGACAGAAAAGCTAGCAAGCTGATGCCAGCCACCTTGGAGAACCTTTCTTTTAGTTTCTTTTTGTTCCCATTGTTTTTAATGCTAGAAAAATCTGGCATCAATAGTGAAAATTTCATTTATTGCTTGATACATTGGACGTGCCCTAACCTTCTTCAGCACGCTGTTAGTATACGAACGTATTTCTACATTATAGAACAATCCTAATCCATAATATTTCTAGCTTTCTAGACTGTGTGTAATATACAAAATTCCTCCCATCAACAGCTCCTTATAGTTTGTTTGAGCTCTTTCCTTCCGATTTAAGCTGTTGAATTCTCTGGCGTAGCCTTCGCCGGTGGTCATGTATCTTCCAAAGACCATGTCCCAAAACAACAGCGGAGTAAATACCATGTGTGATAATGGGTGCAAGAATGTTGTCCGTCTGTCAAGGTTGCATCAGAATATGAAGAACCCAATTAGTATGCTGTTCTTATAAATAAATAAATTGTTAGTTGCTTCATTTTGAAATTATTCCTCAACTAGTTTAATAATGTGAAATGTTACCTGGATCCATTCAAATCCTAGGTAAAGGGCCAATATTCCTTCCAAAAGGGGAGAGTAGATCTTCTTCATTTGTCTCCTCTCATACCAGGCTGCAGTGCATTTACGTAAAAAAAAATTAGTGAGATGAATACTTGGAAAAAATTAGTAGTGCTAAGTATGCATAACCTTTCTCCCACAAGGTTCTTTTGCCTAGGGGAACATCTCTAAATTTAAGAGTTATTGAAATAAGATCTCATAAATCTATGAGGCAAGGGAAACTGGAAACTTCTAGTGCACATGTCTCTATATGGATGGAGAAACTATTGGTTATATTAGTTAGGTTTATTGGTTCTGGATGCGATTATAAGCAGGTCAGGTATTCAGCTCTCTATCAAAATATATATCAGGGCCTGAAGACAGATAAGCCTTTTAAGACCTTACAAAAAAAAAAACCATTGAATGAATGACATTCTATTTTTGGGCAGAGCAAGCACCTATGAATAGCTTTTTCAGATCTTCACGAGCAGGGCGAGACCGTTGAACTGGTGCAACTACATAAGTAGGATCTGAGGAAAACCAGAAAAGCAACAAGTAAATTAAAACTGAACTTGATGATAAGTAAAAAATTTCTCAAAAAGAACACTACAGAATCTACCTTTCGGAGAGGCAGCCACATAATAAAGAGAGCCTGTAAGAGCAGCCGTTATTACAGCTGCAAATGCCTGAGCAAATGGGACAAAGGGAGGCAGCACACCAGTCTAAAATTGGAGAAACAAAAAAAGTCAGAGAGTTTAGTTGCAAGAAAGATTTGATCACCACATAATAGAAGGTATAATCTGTGGAACGGAATGTATACCAGAGATGCCATTCCTTGAGCATCTGAAACCAACTCAGTGCCTCTCAGGAATATATCAGCTAATGCTCCCTATTTGTTAAAACAGAAGCAATCGTTATCATTTAATTGTCATATGGATAGTAAGGCATTGAGTAGAGGTCACAAGACAGATATGAATGATCTTAAAACTATAACATAGAAATTTACTAAGTATGCTATAGCAAGCTTCCTGAGAAGATTATAGCAGAATAATTGTACAACTTTGAATGCTAGATCTCCTGGATAGAAATACTTTTCAGAATTGCCCTATAGTGATTCAACATTATATATTTGTTTAACATCACAAAATAAGATAAAAAGGAAAATTTTTCAAGATGACAGACCTGAACAGCAGCCCTGTAGAAAAGCTCCTCCCCAACTGAGCTGGCAGCAACCATAAGTATAAACTGCAAAATTCATGCAAGGTGAAACCAGGTCCTCATTGCTTCATTAAAGATGAAGCATGAGAAAGGGAATATCTAAGCAGCAAATATGTGTAAGATGGTTTACCTGCCAAGGTGACATTCCATAAAAGAAGCTCCTTAATTCCTCATCCTCCACATCTCTTATTGCACGAGCATGAGGAGATACTTTAACTACTTCATCCTGTAACCTCGAAAATTCCTCACAATATAAGCACCAAATTCCAAAGACACTTCTGAACATTCAAGTAAACTGAAAATCCATGTTAAATTTGGATTTTATAACAGCTAGAAAACTTGACTTGAATATATAGTCTTTCTCGAAATTCCAAGGACTTAAAACAAGCACATGGCAAACAGTTTTATCCATAAAACTCCTAATATCAGCTGTCGTTTACCAGTCAAGATTCTTCAAGCAATGATACAAATCCAATTATAAAACTGATAAGCAAATAATGAACATACATCTAATATGAAAAGAAGGGCCATGATTGGAGGAACTGCATAGCCAAGTCCTTCAAGAACAGCATCTAATGAAGGATGAAAACCTCCCATGCTGTCGATTCCAGTAATTGAACATATAAATCTCCCAGCTAGCGCCATTGCTCCATATATCCCTAAACACAAATATCCAAAAAAAATCAGAACTATTTATTGCTATCTACACGCAGCTTTTATCCCCTTGAAGAACTAATTAGTCTGTTTTACCAGAAAAAAAAAAAAACCCAAAAGCACCAAAATAACCTCAGAATTCACAAAATTGAATAATTGATAATGCTTTAAATCAAAAATAAACGAACTTATTTATTCTAGTAAGACGAAGAAAATTGATGTATTATGTTGAAAAAAAAATTCAAATAGCAGGCATTTATGATATCACCCTTCATCTCCTCGACGCAAAAGTCAAAAGTACTATGTAAATAGAAAACTATGGAAGACGAAAATTGATTGAATTTCAATTGAAAAGCAAAATCATTTCATTCGTTTCAAAAAGGGAATAAGGAAAAAAAAAAGGAACTCTACTTCCTTGGACCATTTCCTTTAAAAGAATTTCCTCTTTTCCTGTTTCTTTCGCTTTTAGAAGCTCAAGCTAAATGAAAAGAAAAGAAAAGTCTTTCCTCAAAATTACCGCTTCCTGAAATTCCCAAGGAAAGAAATACTAAAAACTTAAGGCTTTTACCTATCTTTTCCTCAAAATTCATCAATTTGGAGCAACCAAAGTTTTTCAATAAAACCCAAAAGGAATTTTATAAAAAAAAAATGACTTTCGAAATGTTACCGATTCCATAGCTGAGTCTAACAACTGCACCAATCTTATCCCAAACCGGAAAGTCTGCAGCTTCACCAAAGCTTCGATCCAGAGTGGTCACTTCCATAGCACTTCCAGCAAACCTCTCTCTATCCTTAATCGCAGCTTCACCACTCCGTTCCACGGACGCCTTTGCGCACCGTATTGACATTCTCCTCTTCCTCACCCCAAACTCACAAAGCAGCTTAACATTCCAAGAAGAAGAAGAAACGCAACACGAACCCAAGTACGACGTCGTCTTCGATGTTAATGATAGTATTGGAACCTCCATGTAGACCTTTTTCTTTCCGCCTCTTTCTTCCTCTTCTTCTTCTTCTTCTTCTTCGTCTGCGTCGTCGTCGTCGTCGTCGTCGTCGTCGACGTCGACGAAAAATTATTGGCCGTTTGCTTTCCTGTTTAGAATAAAGTCATTTTAAGAGAGTCGGGAGTTTTTGTCATGGACTTTTAGGGGCGTTTGATCATGATCTGGCGGCAGGGAAAGAGGAAGGTGGGGTCCGCGTGGTTGCTTGATATTTGTGTAATCGAATGGGGCTTTCTTTTATCCGTGGGATTTTGGTGGGAGAATCTGAGAGAACCAATGCATTAATGACACGTAGAGATAATGCTAGCCCCACTGTTGAGCTCCCACTTTTTTTTATTCGATAATTAACGTTATTGGACAGTTGAATATTCAAGTTGGGAATCATGTTCCACGTAATTTGAATTTGTGGTGATAGATATATGAAAAATAACGAAGGGAAATATATATATATGAAATAATAGTTTTTTTTATTTAATGAATTAAAAATTTTACTTACACATTTATGTTTTTTTTGTATGATATTTTGTAAATTTTTTTCAATTAATATTATGTAAATAAGTCTTACTTTCATAAAAAAATTACATTGTTTAAAATAATGAGTTGCTAATATTGCAACAAAGATCATTAGTTTGCAAGATTAGAAAATATGAATCTATATTCATGAAATAATAATTTA